TCTCCGCCGTAGTACCTATCTAATACAGTCTTTATATAAGTCTATATATGTATATCCATATATATGTGTATGTATTATTCATTAGCAACTATATGTGTAGATTTAAGTATTTTATTATTATTACATGTAAGTATAATTTTATTTATACTATTTATAGTGCGTTTAAATTTATCTTTAGCCTTTTTACTCCTTTTTTACTCTTATTTTTCTGTTACGCCTTCACCAGACACAATTTTAATTATTCCTCCAACCTATGGTTGCCTTAGCGATAGGACCGTCCAGTGTTGCCTCTTTTTCTTACTTTTATATATTTAAGTTTATAATTTAATAATAATAATAATAATATAATTTAATAATAACAATAATTAATAATAAATTTAAAAATAATATAATTTAATTGCGTACATATTGTTAATCTTTATAATCGATATCATTCTTTGAAGGTAACAATAAAGAGTTTTTATTTATTCATTAAAAAAAAAATACAGTTTGTATTTTTATTTAGGCAAGTGGCAAGCGAGTCCGTCAATGGAATCGTCACAAATCCATGAGATACAACAGATAAGATTGTGGAGATAAGACAGCAACGTCCGATATCTGATTCCAAGTCATCGATGAATTCGTTGCCAGTTGCCACATATCTAACTTTTTTACCTTAGAGAAGTCACTTATAAACCTACGTACAAACAGAAAGCTCACTAAAGCTACAAACATTCCCGGAATTAAGCTACAAAGCGGAATCATATTGCTTAACTAAACTTGGCCATTTGCGGTGAGAGGCGATCGTCGAATAGAGACGTGCAATTTCAGTTTTACACTGTTATTTGGCACAATGCTCTTTCAATAGACACTAGACTAGAATATATGAACACACCGCAATATCTATTACCTTCGGGAAATTTCATATCTCGTGTGGAACGGTATTCATGATTATTACATTCAAGTGTGCGGTATTTTGTTGCTACAGACCTGTTACCAGTGACTCTATAGCACAGACGTAAATGCGATGTTGGGACAGATTTTTTTTATACAACTTAGAATGGCAAACAAGCTAATGGCCCACCTGATGGAAAGTGGCAACCGTCGCCTATAGACATGAGCGATACCATTGACACAACACAGTATACTGTTTCGCCCATGATACTCCCCATGCGTTGCCATTCCTGAGGACTCAGGTATTATTCCTCTGTACCCAGTAAATTCACGCCATATCCCACCCTTCAAACTGAAACACAGCCATGCAAACACAACTGCTTCACGGTTGACACATGAATGGGACAGAGGTACCCAAGCAAACGACTTTTGTACAAAGTCTCCCTATTTATAAATAGTATATATTAATTTATGAGTGTGTTACGAGTAGTTTTTTTTTTTTTAATCTTTTTTATTTCGAGGCTTTTATCCTATAAGGATATGTCAGCCTCATCATACCCTAATTTTAAAAAATACCTCACATACTTAAAATATGAATATATAAATAAATAATACATAAAATCTTAGTAGTATATTTTGATAAAGGGAATTATTGATACAAAAATATAGTAATTAAAGATTTTGCCATTCCGGAATGTGGTTTTGCGAGTATATTTGAAAATAAACCAATCTCCTGTCTATTGAGACTATATTTCTGTATCAATACTTGTATTTTGTATTTCGTACATTCGAATATCATATGCTGAACATCATGCAATGTGTTACAAATATTACAATTCGGATTATTAAATTTTTTCATAATAAAAGCGAATTTTGCATTTGCGTAATGTCCTGAGCGTAATCTAAGAGTTGTAACAACGAATTATTACGAGTAGTTAGAGCAGACAAATAACAACAAACACGCACAAAAAGAGATAACAGTATACTAAAAAGGCAAGTACATAAAAAAGTAATTAAGATTTTTGTCGTGTAGGTATGTGTCACAGTGACACAAAATGTCCACAACTCAGTTTAGTGCTTTGCACTCAAAAGGGCAAAACACTGAGTTTCTGTTCAGGCCAAATGACAACTGTGAAATTCCCTGACAAAATAAAAACACACGTCCATTATATACTAGAGGAAAAAATTAAGGGATCAAAAAAAAAATGCCAAATTTTAAAAATGGTCGTACTGGAATTTAAAAAAAAAGGATTTTAAAGCTCAAAGTTTCTAGTTTTGAGTTCTTATGATAAAAAAATTTTTTAAGCAACGTGCTCTGCTCAATCCTAATGAATACCGAAACAAAATTTTTTCAAGAGATCTACAGACTCGCATTTACAACATGCATCATCATACATCAACATAAGCCTCCCCCGTGGAAAGGGTTTTGCCAGTAGTTACAACGCTTGGCAGGCGGATGGGCAACCGCAGTTAGGCTTTAGAGATGTTTTAAAAGGGCCGCTGCTGCCCATTCCTTGCTCTCCCGGCAGGGAATGGGCGGTTAGTCGCCGCTTACGACACCTACGGGAAAGGAAGGTAGTGGTCTGTTCTATGTCGGACTCAATATACTCTGTTATGTCCATGGTACTGCTCATGTCTATAGGCGACGGTTACCACTTTCCATCAGGTGGGCCGTCAGCTTGTTTGCCATTCTAAGTTGTATAAAAAAAACCACACGGCGATTTTATAACATTAATACTTACTACTTAAAATTGATTAAATTTCTAAAGTTTATTAACAGAAAAAAATACCTTGTGATGTCAGTGTTTTTTTTCAAACAAGAGCCTCTATTCAATTCAATGATAACAGGGTAATTAAAACAGTCATTACAAACAATAAGGTATAAGGAAAAGTCATGAAAGACACCTCAGTATTATGTGATGACATCAGACTTGATCAGTATGTTGACAATGGGACTCAGTGAGTGGTGTTGCCATTATAAATTCTATTGTTTATATGCTATTCATAGGTTTATCCACTTTATCCACCCGAGAATTGTCTGATGCCCACTCCGGGTTAAATGGATGATAATGGAATGGTAAACCCCACCTACACTATCTGTATATGCTGATGGGATACCAGTGAGGGATGATGAGCGAGAGATGATTAGTGAGAGATGATGATGAATGAGAGATGATGAGTGAGATAGGCAAGCAAATCAGATGGCCTATCATGATGAATCCAATAGGAATTAACCACAATGGTTTTCAAGGGGAACTGCTTGGAAGTTGATCTAATTGTATATCTATCTAACAATGTGGAAATTTTTTTTTATGGATTTGCCCCATTCTTGGGTTCCCTTCTCTTTTACAACATGTCAAACAAGCTGACAGCCCAGTTGAGAGAGTGCTATCAACTATCCATAACAAAAACATATCCGAGAGTACACTATATGCCTTTTTAAGGAGTCAGGTCTCCGTGGAAAATAATTTTAAATATATCAATTCTTTGCACATTATACAATGGTGCATTTGGCAGGCCATTAAAGCCATAAAAAGATATTATTAAAATATAATTTTGGGATATGATAAAATATTTGATCTTAAGAAAAAATAAAGTATCAGATCTATTTATAGCAATATCATGGATAGTTTTAAATTTTTTTTATGGATTTTGTCAATTTGTATAAATTCTTGTTTTGATTTCTACAAGTTCTCTTTTTTTTTTTTTATACAACTTAGAATGGCAAACAAGCTGACAGTCCACCTGATGGAAAGTGGTAACCTTCGCCTATAGAGATGAGCAGTACAATGGACATAACAGAGTATACTGTTTCACCCATGATACCCCCATTGTCATTCCATTCCTGAATTCCATTGTATTGCCATTCCTGAGGACTCAAGATGTTATTCCTCTGTACCCTGTAAATTCACTGCCATATCCCACCCTTCAAACCGAAACACAGCCATGCAGAAACAACTGCTTCACAGTTGAAACACGAATGGAACCAAGGCAAACAACTTTTGTACAAAGTCTCCCTATGTTACTTCTTTTATGCATTTTCATTTTTTTTTTATATGTATTCTTTATTTCTTTTTTTTTGCATAGGTATACTTCGTACAAGTTCTCTTATTAAAATCATCAAGTTTAATTTAAGCTATCAACTTTGCTTAAATATATGCTATGTACAAATATCATCTAATGTAATTTTATTATTTTAAATATAAAAATCATGTTATACATACAAATACAGGTGATATAATTTTTACATTTTTTCAATATGAAACTGATATAATAATAATGAATGAAATTTCAATTTGTTTTATCATTTTTCTTTTGTTTTTATGATTTAAATTTGACATTTTATTTTATTGCTCTATTAATGTTAACATTTTTATTTATTGATTTTGTAATTTAATTATTTTGTAAATTGTAATTATTTATGTGTAATTTACATAATAACTGGTTGTAATGTTTAGAAGTTTCTAGATCCTCTGTAAGCTATAGATATTATAGTATAAGAATAAAATAAATAAATAATACAACTCAAGTTTGTTTTAAACTTGTTTAAGTTATTTCAAAACTGGTATATGGTGTGTAAGATTAGTAAAGAATTGTAATGAATAATTAATTAAATTATGCATTAAAATTTTTTACACTATACTTACATGTATACAAATAAAAATCAAAATCCTTATGGTCAGAGGGTAACCATAAAAGCAGTTCAAACTTCATCCAAGTAACATTATACGTGACTTATTAAATGAATAGGAATTATAATGTGTGTGCCTAATTCAGTATACTTTATAACTTGTGGCTTTGGCAATGAGTTGGTTTACCTAAGAAGTAATATACTTATTGACCACCTAAGTACCATCTGTTCCATTCAGAATCTTTTGAGCTTTGCAGAAACTATTTACACAGGTGAAAATAACAAGGCCTGGTTTAGTTTTTGATCATTTGTGGATTTATACTCAAACATATGAGTAATAACAGGTAATATTACGTTTAACTTTACATACTATTTTTTAATAATTGAACAAATTTTACGTATTTGTTGACGTATGTAGTACGTATCGACTGTAATTATCAATTATGTAGAAGTTAAGAAAAAACAATAAGTAGGTATAATTAATTGTGCGGCTTACCTCAGGTGGAGATTCTCGACAAAGTTGTCCGTTGTCAAATTGTCCAACAGGACAAAGTCGGACACACCGACTTCTGGCTGTGTAGCCATTTTTATTACGCCACTTTACAATATACAGTCACAACAATACAAAATATTCACATACAATTTATTTAAAATAATTTACGTGTTTGTTAACTGTTGTCAATAAACCGTTTTTTAAGGCAACTGAGAAACGACTTCACTAATGCAACATTTTATTCAAACTGACAGTTTCTGACAGTTTTTTTAAATTCTAATCCTAATGCTGGCTACACTGAACCTACAATACTTGCCAATAAACAAATTAAATAAATAGGCTGTATATATATATTCAGCAGCTTGAATCAAGCACACATCTATTGCTGCTGGTTCCTATCTTAAATTATAAAATATACTTTATATTTGATTATATTAAATTTATGAGTAAATCAGACATAGATCTCTTTATCTTAAAAATAGAGATAAATGATAAAAAACGGCTTGCCTGGATATGATTCAAGTCCCTTAATTAGTCTACATAGACTTTTTTATGTATTAATACTTACATACGGCTATCATAAGATTAACCATCATCATCATCATTTCAGCCTAAATCTGTCCACTGCTAGACATAGGCCTCTCTCATAGACAGCCATAAGAAACAGTTATGAACCACCTGCATCCATTGCCTCCATGCAATGCATTTTAGATCGTTACTTCATATAGTGGGGAGGTCGTTCTACTCTTTTTTTTTTTTTTACAACACAGGGGGCAAACGAGCATGCGGCTCACCTGATGGTAAGTGACTACCGCCGCCCATTTTCACCCACAACACCAGCGGCATTGCAGGTGTGCTGCCGGCCTTTTAAAAAGGAATATACTCTTTTCTTGAAGGTTATATTGTCGTATCGGTTCGGAAATACTGCTGCTGGAAGTTGATTCCAAAGAATGGTTGTGCGTGGAAGAAAGTGCCTTGAAAAACGCACGGTGGAAGACCGTCACTCGTCCAGATGATTGCGTTTGCCCGTACAGGGTCGCCACTTAAGAACCTTTCTTCCCTATCGGTTGTTGGTTCTTTGAGCTACGTGACAGCCCATTGGCACATCAACATATTTATCCTTCGGGCTATATCGGTTTCTTTGATTCTTTTACGGTGATTAAGATTAATTAGATACTTAAAATATTTACATTACTATGACTCACTGAATTAAAATTTAAAAATATATTTATTATTAATTTTTTTAATTTCATTAAACTTATATAATATTACGTACATATATGTATCGGAACGCATACAATCTGTCCGCCGCCATTTTCCTTGTTGTAGGTGCATCAAATGTCATAATAATTTAGTTTTTTCGATATTACAAATTTTCATTTACGTTTTCCTTTAAATGCTATATTTTATTATACTATATTACTTTTTTTTAATATATATCGCTTACATCTGTACTTTTCACGATTAAATTATTAATTCCGTCGTAGTGTTTTGTGTGAGGTCGTCATTTCAAGGATCCTTCATGTTCTTCAAAGAGTATCGTCTTTAAAAGGTAGCGAGTGATCCACGCCCACATCGATGCATCTTGGGATGAGAAACGAGTGACGCGAGTCTGTATTTGTGCTGAGTAATGAAAACTTAGTGTAGGTATTGTGTTACGAATTTAAAGTGAGTGTTAATGGGACAATGAATGAGTCCCCAGGCGTGGAGTGGCTGCCGGCGTACAGCCCTGGCCCGCCACGCCACAGCCCGCTGGGGCCAATACCGAGATTCCTGTACGAAGATGTGCAGCCATTGGCCCTACAACAGGAAAATAACAACAAGGAGACTGATCAGAAAGAGAACACGAATAAAATCAAACATGCCAAACCAGCTTACAGGTAATTATCACTTTTCCTGATTATGTGAATCACTTTTGTAGGTGAACTCTTACATATTCACAAATACATTTCATACGGATTATGAAGTAATTTTTATTTACAAATATTTCATAGTGTCCTTGATGTATTATATAGTAATAATAGTAATTAAAGCAAATAAGTATTGCCAGAACACTATTTATTCTATAATGGACTTTATTTAGTGCATGTAATGACTTATTAAAATATTATAAGTACTATACTGTACTATCAGACAGTATATTCAACTCTGAACTGTTCTTATTTTATAGTTGTACCTATTTTGTCTTGAGAGTGTCAATAAATTAAAAAAAAAAATGTTTAGAAGCTGAATATTCTCTAAATAAGTTACATTCTTGAAATCTATCATATATCCTTAATGTGGATTCCATTTTCAAGATAATCAAGTACCTGTGTGTGGTACAAATACTTTGATATTATATCTATTTAATTACTGCTAGATAATAAATGTAGGTATATCATGAAATATTAAAGGATTAAAGCATTAAGTTTTATCAGTAATGTGTACATGTGTATGTATGTAATAATAAATTGATTGAAATACTGTTCTAATAATAAATAACATCATCTATACATATAATAAAACTATAGAGGTTGAATGTTTGTACTGAATGAAAAAAAAACATAGATTTTCAAATTTTTTGTCTGTCTGTCTGTACGGGCTAATCTCCTAAACTGTTGGATTGATTTAAATGAAGTTTTGCATGGTGGCACCTTACATCCACAGTCAACATATTAGGTATTTTTAATCATGGAAAATTAAAAAGTTCCTATGGGATAGTTAGAAAACTATATTAACTTATATAGTTTAGTACATGACCTACTTAAGTAAAGTCATTTTGACCTAAGCAAAGAGTGAGACTGACAAGTGATTTGTTAATTTCGGGTCCAGTATTCCCAGACATAATAAATAGGTTACATACAGTCATACATACTCAATAGTAATAACAAATGCCATGTGTTTTAAATCCAGGTATGCAGGACTACACAGTATATTTCACTTGTCCACAGCTACGCCAGCATGATCCGGCTGGCGATCAGCAGTTCACCAAATGGCAAGATGACACTGAACGAGATTTACAACTACATCTGTAATGCATTCCCGTACTATAAAGAAGTTGGCAAGGGATGGATGGTGAGTTGTGACCACTACTAAGACAAGAGTAGACTCATTGCTACTCTTGAATTTAATACCAATATCAATCTGATCTATTGCCAATGACAATTTTATACTGCACTCGTGAAACAACAGTTAGGGATTAAGTTATAATTGGGATCGGTTTACAATAGTTTGCATTGACAAGTTACGCTAATGTGCAGCTATCAGTACAATATGGAACCATTATATCGCCAGTACTGCAATTAGAGAGAGCTAGACTCAATATCGATTCATTGGAATCAAGAGTGACCCACCAAGGCTCTATTACTGGGATGCAAAAATCTTTAGATGTATTTTTTGGGATACGGGAGAGCTCATTACCTCTCCCATATCCCAATTATTACCTCATTGTACAAAAGTTGATTGCTTGGGTAATCTGTCCCATTCGTGTTTCAACCGTGAAGCAGTTGTATATGGCTGTGTTTCGGTTTGAATTTGGGATATGGCGTGAATTTACTGGGTACAGAGGAATAACACCTCCCAATTGAGTCCTCAGGAATGGCAACGCATGTGGGGTATCATGGACATAATAGTACAATCTGTTATGTCCATGGTACTCCCCATGTCTATCCTGAGGACTCAGGTGTTACCACTTTCCATCAGGTGGGCCGTCAGCTTGTTTGCCATTCTAAGTTGTAAACACAAAAAAAAAGTCTGTAGGATATCAAGATAATATGTACACCATACTTTAAGTTCAATCTTCCAGAATAAACACCAAATTCAATTTGGTTTTATGGTATACTAAATACTAACAATAAAATTCTAAAATCTAATCTCCAACCACCTAGGCTCGTATTTAAAATTTAAAGTATTCAACAATGATTCTAGTTGCCATTTGTGTGGCTTAATTGTAAGTGTTATGCCTCTGTTCACTATAATTTCATTGTCATATTCCACCCTTAAAGATGAAACACAGCCATGAAAGTACAGCTGCTTCACTGCAGAAACATGAATGGGACAGAGGTACCCTTGTGTTTATATAAAATCTTCCTTTGGTTACATTTACAATGGTTAAAGTTACAATTTTATTATATGTAAATAAGCGGTATAATGTTTTGTATTGCAGAACTCAATAAGACACAACCTGTCTCTGAACAAATGCTTCATGAAGGTGGCGCGGAGTAAGGACGACCCGGGCAAGGGCTCGTACTGGGCCATCGACACCAGCTACAAGATGGCTGAGGTGACTCCGCGCCGACGCAGGAGTCTCAGGGTTAGTATATATATATTTTTTTTATTTATTTCTTATTGCATTCCATAATATAATTTGTAGATAACATTTCAATTATGGACCCTGTTGGGCACAGCAAGTACGAGAGAGGAGGACAACACTTTTTTCACTTTAGAAATAGTCTAAGGATCTGTTACAATATTATCCAGTCATTGAAATTGTATCACGATAGGTACGTACGAGTATTTTCTGTATTATTATTATTCATTATTTAAGTATTGGTGTGTATCTATTCATGTCGTAATTGTTATTAGTATTATATAGTTATTTAATATATTCTGTAGTTTATAATTATTTATATTCATATTGTAAAATTAATTAATAAATAGTTTAATAATAAAATTGCAGCAATGTCAGTTTTAGCTATGTCTTAAATCATTATCAATCTCATAATTAGTTATTTATTTATAAATTACAAGATAAATTCTGCTTGTCATTAGTATATTATCTTTAAAAAAATATATTAATATTTTGATAATGTATACATATATGCACAACGGGAATTTTATGAAGTACTTACTTAAGTACTTACTTACTTAATTCCGACGGTGTACAACGAAGCGAGACGCGAGAGAACGTACAGTGCTTTACGTCACGTAAAGCACTGTACGTTCTCTGAAGAAGACTTCTGAATAAAGCCGACACAATTGTCGAAAATGACAAACATAGTATTTTGTTTTTATACAACTTAGAATGGCAAACAAGCTGACGGCCCACCTGATGGTAGTCGTGATGTCGTCGGATGGACGTCGATGGCCGTCAGCTTGTTTGCCATTCTAAGTTGAATAAGAAAAAAAAATTTCAATGATGTTTGTAATATTATTTAATAACCGTACTTAAGCCGTGAGTTAAGGGAACGTGCTGAAGTAGGTTAGTTAATTTTCTTTAAGATTATCTACACTGATTAGTGCCGTCAAATTATCATTAATTTATACTGATATGACCGATAACATTTATAGTGCTCTATCGACAAGCGAGACTAAACAGATTGCGCTTGTGTGCCACAGATGGCGCCTTACAGCCCGGAGTGCAGTTCAAACAGCAGCGGTGAAGCGGGCGGCGGCGGCGCGCTGCCATCAGCAGACGCGGCGCCGACGCCGCCGGCCACGCCGACCACGCCGACCGCACCAGCCACGCCTTCGGCGCCCACCACGCCAATAACACTGCTCGAGCCGCACACCATCAAAGAGGAACCGGGCATTAAGGACGAGTTGGGTAGAGTATCATATGACATATCATATATTTGGCAGTTTCTATAGGTATGTCTGTAACTATTTGTCCACAATATTCAATATTTTTCACCGCATAATTACATATCTGTTTTAGCAAAAGTTAACTGTTATTTTTTTTTTTATTTATTTATTTACAAGAAACATGGTAAGTGTATAGATGTTACAATAAGTATAAGTCCTCATATTTCGCCACAATTAGGCGTGCTAATATTAAAACTTAAAAAGAATAAATGTTAAATGAGTCTTCTTCTTCTTCTTCTTCTTTTTTAAAATATGGCTTCCACCGTAGAAGCAACGGTGATTTTCTGCCAATGTCAGGGTTAGAGAAGACTCCGTGTATTTTATATTATGACATTTTTCAGTAATGAAGATAAATCGTTCAGTTGAGTTTTCTGGAAAGGAGGACAACACAAAATATGTTATATACATGCAAAGGAAAAATAAATTTAATATAATATGTGTGTATAAGTGTATTATAGCAAAGACAATGCGCGGAAGGAATGAAAAGACGAGAAGTGTAAAGAGTGACATATACTTATATTTTAAATTTTTATATTATTAGTACATATAAATTTGGCCAGTACCTTAACCAAAGGAGAGTGGACTAAGGTAAGAAGGAATGGAATATTTACAGGACGTGGAAAGGTACGAGGCAACAGGTCATAGAGGGGAAGGGTCAATTTGGGGCATTCAAAAAATAGGTGCTCTAACGTTCCTTCCGCTAAGCCACATTCGCACAGAGAGTGATCTTGGATTCGGATTTTGTATAAAAATACGGGTGTGCAGACATGTCCCAAACGTAGGCGGCATATAACTGATGTAACCCACTTATCTAAGTTTCGTTGAGTAGCAAACCATGGTTTTATAGGGATGAAGGGCTGGATATTACCATAATACTTGCCTTTAGATTGTCTAGTTTTTTGCCACAAGTTATCCCAAGCTTCTAACATGTGTGGTTTAGCCTGACAACGTAGATCTCGAGTGAAATAAAAATTGTAATTATTACCATGTTGGATAGCATTTTTGGCCCAAGAGTCTGCTGTTTCATTCCCAATAATTCCTGAATGACTAGGAATCCACGCAAGGGTAACATTAATACCGGACTTGTAGCACCTATGTAAAATTTGTTTAGTTTGCAAAGTTATGTAAAAGTTTTCTTTGGATTTAAAAGGTAGTTTTAAAATATCTTGTAAACAGCTTAGGGAGTCCGAAAGAATGAGGGTTTTGTTTAATTTATGTGTTTCTACATAGGACACTGCTTCCATAATAGCTATGGATTCACCAGTAAATGTTGAGGATGAAGGAAAACATTTGAAGTTGAGGACAACGTTATATTTTGGAATCCATACAGCGGCTCCAACATGATCTGATTTGTCAGTTTTAGAAGCGTCTGTAAACATCAGAAGCCAGTCGTGCCATGTTTCCGCGACAATAGCGTTAAACTTTTGATTAGCAAAAGGTAAATGTTTTACTAATCCAAAATCTAGAATTACATTAGGACGATAAATTAGAGAATCATAATCAAATTCGAAAAGAGGGTTACGGTCTATTTTTTTAATAAGTGAGATCGGGTTTTTGTACTTGGTAAAGCTCTTAAGGATGGGAGGGGTTCTTTATGGGTCCAGTAACTTGATAGGTTTATTTGTTCTGAGAGAGACTCTAAGATAGGAAGGAGAGGATGGGAGTTATATTGAGCAATATTGAGGTAAAAGCGGTCTGAGAGATATTGTCTACGTAGATGGAGAGGGGGATCTAGACATTCGACTTGCAGAGCGTTTGCTGGAGATGACTTCATTGCACCAATAATTATACGTAAGCACCTAGTTTGAACTCTGTCAAATTTAGCTAGAGCAATTTTGTTGCAAGGTTCTAACAGAAATGAGCCATAGTCAAAGTGACTTCGGATAATAGCATTATATAAGAGTTTTTGGCTATATGGATGAGAACCCCAACGTACACCAGAAAGGGCTTTTAAGATATTAATACTACTTTCGCATTTATTTACTACGTAGCTTAAATGATGCAGGCCTGTTAATTTTGAGTCCAGGATAACACCCAAAAATTTTACTTTATCTTGTACTAAGATAGGTTCGTTATTTAGAGAGAGTTCAATAACGGGGATTTGTCTCTTGCGGCTAAAAACGACCGCTGAGCACTTTGGTATAGAAAGTGTTAGCCCATGATCATCTAGCCACTGATTGAGGTAATATAACGCGGAATTTAGGCGGGAAGAGGAGTCAGAAAAGGAATCTGAGGCGATATACATAGCAATGTCATCCGCATATTGTAGGATTTTGCAGAAACAAGTAACGGAGGATTCAAGGTCAGATGTATAGATATTATATAAAAGGGGACTAAGGACAGAGCCCTGTGGGAGACCTTGCCAGACCAGTCTTGAAGGAAAAAGAGAGCCATTAACACGCAAGGAAATCGATCTAGCCATTAAGAGATTACATATGATAGTAGTCAGTCTCACAGGAATACTCAGATTTTGCAGCTTTTGCCTGAGTATTGGAAGCTGGACATTGTCATACGCAGACGAGATATCAAGGAAAATTCCTATGAGGTGTTCATTGCAGGAGAAAGCAAGGCGTATTTCCGAAATAAGGACACTAAGGCTATCTGTAGTACCCATGCCACGTCTAAATCCAAATTGTAATTTGGATAATAAACCTTACTTTCTAAAATCCATTCAAGTCTATGTTTAATGAGAATTTCTAGAATTTTTGCCAAGGCCGAAGATAGGGCAATCGGTCTGTAAGAATTTGGATCGTTAGGATCTTTTGGGGTTTTAAGATGGGAACTATAATTTGGGATTTCCAATATTCAGGTACTATTCCAGATAAGAAGACACAATTAATAATATCAGAAAGTATTTTTTACCTGACATGGGTAGATTACATATAAAAGAATATGGGATGCCGTCAATTCCTGGAGAGGAGTCATGGAGATGATCAAGGGCGCAAATCAATTCTGGTAACGAGAATGGTTCATCCATTCTGTCACCACTAGAAGTTGGAGGAGTTGCATAAGGAAGGGAATCTTCTGAGGGGACAAAAGGTGGAGCAAGCCTATCAAAAAAAGCATCTACCCATAACGAGGGATCATTCGATGTTAAATTATGATTAATAGTTCCATTGCGAAATGAATTGATTTTATTCCATACAAGAGAGGGGGAGGCTCTTGGAGATAAGGATTCACAAAACCTATGCCATCCTGAAGATTTTTTCTTGGAGAGCAGTCTCTTTGTGCGAGCAGCTATCTTACGATAGGAGAGGTAATTATCCATCGTCAAGTTTGATAAATAAGTTCTTTCAGCCTCTTTTCGCAGCTTGACACTATTTGTACACTCAGAGTCCCACCAAGGGGGGAAGGGATTTTGTTAAGAGTAGAATTTTTAAGGGGGATCGAATCATTATGATGTTAAAAAAGTAACAAAATTATTGTAGGTTTCATTAAAATTATTTATACTTATGGCAGGGAGGGAACAAAATTTATTTTCTAAAAGACTGGAGAATTTATGCCAATCAGCTTTATCTGTTTTATATTTTAGAAGTGGACTGGGGACAGACGTAGGTTTGGAATAAGTATTATAGAATGTAATTAAGATAGGAAGATGGTCACTACCATATGAATTAGGTAGGACTTGCCATGTAAGTTTAGTGACTAGGGTAGGGGATGCAAGTGTTAAATCAGGACAGCTGGGGTTTTGAAGAGGGGATACTCTACGGGTACTAGATCCATCATTCAGCACGCAGAGGTCAATGTCGTCGAGTAGATCTAACAAGTATGTGGAAACTGTGTCAGTGGATTGTGAGCCCCATAATGTGTGATGGCAGTTAAAATCTCCCATGATAATAAAAGGAGGACAGAGAGTCGATAGGAGTGACTGAAGCTCAGAGAGTATGGATTGATTTGGATGAGGGATATAAATAGAGACTAAGGTAATACCAAAGGTTTTGACTGCTACTATTTGAAATTCTGGACTGTGTGAGGGGATGGGGATTTGGGAGAATTTAGTAGATTTTGTAACCAGAAGAGCGGAACCCGCCCATCCGTCGGCTCTGTCATCCCGGAGGCATGAGTAGCCAGGCACTCTGAATGTAGTGCCAGGTCTTAACCATGTCTCCGAGATGGCAAATGCCACTGGTTTAAATTTATTGAGTAAATATATAAGATCATGTTTTTTATTTAAGATACTCCTAGTATTCCATTGTAGGAGGTTTAGGGTCATTTTTTAAGAAGGAGGAGAGGAGGAGCTGCAGTAATTGTTGGACATTGTTCGGTAATGCATCTGAAAATTTTGATATAATGTTAATGAGGGTACAAACAAGAAGTTCCACAAGATTGTCATTTGGGGTAGGGAGAGGAGTTGTTTCCTCATATTTTTGTTGGCCTATAGCAGCACAACCATTAGGTTGAGAGGATTTGGGTGTCTGAGTAATATTATTATGTGCAGATATGTCATACGATTTACCCATGGGGGGACGAGGTCGGGGAGTTAAAAGGACTGTTTCACGATATGATTTTCTGGGTGATGAGGATGGAGATGATGTAACTGAGAATTGATAGTTTAGAGGATGAGAGGTTTGAGGTTGGTGTAAATTTTGTTGAGTCGATGTTACATCAGCATATGACCGCTTTACAGAAGGAAATCGGACAGATGCCTCCATGTGGCTTATATTTTCTTCAGCCATTACAATTTTTATACTTTTTTGTCTTGCATGTTCGGGACACACCGACTCTGTAGCTGCATGATTATCACTGTCACAGAGTATGCAATGTGGTTGTTCCTTACTTTTATCACATGCATCACCTGCATGTTGAGCACCACAATAATAACATCTAGGTTTAGATCGACACTGAGTACGAATATGGCCAAACCTACAGCAATTTCTGCATTGAATAAGAGGTAACCTATATAGCAGAACCGGGAGAGAGGTATCAAAACAATAAACTTTTTCTGGAAGAACCTGCCCTTCAAAAGTCAATACAACTGAAGATGAGGGAATCCAAGTGACTGAGTTGTCCGGTTTATGAGATTTGACATTTAATCGTCTAGCTCTTATCACTTGTCCACAATTAGGAGGAGTATCGATATTTTGGACCAGTTCCTCAAGGGACCAGTCATTAGGTATATTACGAACAACCCCCATTCGGGAGATTTGGAATCTTGGGATGCTAGCAGAGTATTTATTATCTGTAAGGAGTGGATTTTCAACAAAATTGTTGGCTTCTAAATGATTTTTAAATTCAACAGATATCCTATTACGACCTAATGCTTTGATACCCCCCTTCCTGATTCCTGTGATTTTATTTTTGTGTAAGAACTGCGCAAATCTTAATAGTTTTATTGATAATCCAGTTGAAACATCGGGTTCTATTCTTGTTACATGTACGGAATAAGGAGCCGCATCCTGGGGATTATACTTTGCTTTTGAGTCACTCTCAAAACCTGGTCTGGTGTAAACAAATTGTATTGATTCTGAGGGTGGATTAGTTTTTTTTCCATCCCTATTGTCAAGATCCAAAGACGCTCGTCTTTTCCTTGTATTACCTACCAGGGATTGAGAGGGCTCCAAGCCATCATCGATGGGTTCTATAGGTATACCTCCTATATCGGGAGGATCCTCATCACCGCTCACCTCCATAATTACGGAGGTGGAGCGAATATACACATAAGAAACTACTTACCACACACCACTAAGAAAATAGGACAAACACAGGACAAAATGAAATAAATATAAGGATTCTCAACACAATATAACACTAAATAATAAAGATTCCAACAAAAAACGTGTATTCACTAACACCTTCAAGTGACAGCCGTCTAAATGAGTCATTAAAATTCGAAATGTTATATATAAAAAAAAAATATATCAAAAATGTCAGACACTTGTCAACAATAACAAAGAAAGAAATGTCACTGTCAAATCATGGTCTATTGATAACAGCTGCATTGTAACACGATAGGTAATTCAAGTAGGTTGTTTACCTTTTTGTATCAAAAACTCTTGCTTGAAAAAGACTCCTCAACAAGCCAATGTTTTAATGAATCTTTAAATTTGCTAAATGGCAGTTCTCGTATACTTTTTGGTATTTTATTATAAATTTTTAATGGTCATTGAATAACAATTTTTATGGTAAAGTGTGCGTCTACATGATGGTACATCCAATTTTGTTGGGTCTCTTGATACTAATTTATTATTTATTTATTTATATTGTGATACATAGGTAACAATGGATGGTAAAACAATATAAGTTTTCTATGATCAACCCCATCTATCGAGGTATACAAATTTACAATTACATAAGAAAAAAATTATATTATATAAAAAGAAAAATCAGCAATGTCACATTTATAGTAAAAATATATAATTATGGAAATTTATTACATTTATCTTCAAGGAAATCGTCAATTGAATAGTATGTTCTGTTTACTAGGTATTCATACAGTTTATGATAAGCTAGTTTTGTTGTAAATAATTGCGGCTCTGTCTTTACTGTTAGAGAGTGCTATATAGTATTAAGTCAGCTTTTTGTGTCTAACATTTTTTGTAATGTGGTTACCTACCATTTTCTCCCCCATTAATAATGACCATATTCCATATGAAAGAATCGATTTTCAATAAATCCTATTAGGAGGGACGCTGCTGTCCATCCCTCGTCTTCCTTAGTCGCCTCTTACGACACCCATGGGAAAGTAAAGGGTGGCCTATTCTATGCGGGGACCACACTCGACTAAAATTGTCTTTATTATAGATAATTGAATTGTTTCAGATTCAAAACATACAGAAGATGCACTAACAGCACTAATGAATGAAGAGTTAATGACCGACGTGGACATCAGCACTGGTCAGTGTGTTTTATATACTTATTTTTAATGATCTAAATATTATTTAAATCTCAAATTATAGATTTGAGATTAATTCAATACTTATAATGAAATATTGTGATTATCATATAAGATATATATTTAAATAATTTGTACTTGTCATGTATTCAAGTAATGTGAATCAGTCATGCTCATTATAAGTTCTAGATCGGTTGGCACACTGCCATTGGTGGACCGAGCCATTTAACTAAAATATAGTTGAGCGCAATTATGGCAGACTCATCCGGATCGACGGAGTAAAGAACACTTTATTACACATATAAACAGAACTCACAGCTTATTATAGTCAGTACCAATACAAATATAAAATTACCTTAAACATAAGCAAATTGAAAATAATTATGAAAAATATTATAAATCACATTTTCTTTCACTGTAGTTACTCTTTTCCACTCCTTTGTAATTTTTGGACTAGATTTGTCATATTTCCTTGTGTGTGCTATGTATGTATTTATATGTGTATGTTTATGTATTTTGTATGTATGTTATATGTGTATATGTATATATATATATATATATATATATATATATATATATATATATATATATGTATGTGTATGTGTATGTATGTATGTATATATATTGTTATAGTAAGTAGTTTAATAAATTATATGTATTTGATATTTTTGTGCATTACATGTTTTTGTATTTTGTGCACGAAAATTGTTGATTCACTCTTGCGCCACCTGCCCTTTTCTATCTGTTCTCCCTTAACTAAAGGTTGTCTGTAAGAGATTGCCCTAGCGATAAGACCGCCTTTTGTACCTTTATGTGTATATTTCAATCTGTATTTATGTTACTGTATTTCATTTGAATTATTCACTTGTCATTGTATATTTTTATTTATGGTGCAATAAAGAGTTAAATAAATAAATAAATAACTGTTGAGTTGAGTCTTCTCAATAGATCACCAGAGGGAGACTTTGTACAAAAGTCGATTGCTTGGGTACCTCTGTCCCATTCGTGTTTCTACCGTGAAGCAGTTGTGTCTGCATGGCTGTGTTTCGGTTTGAAGGGTGGGATATGGTGTGAATTTACTGGGTACAGAGGAATAACACCTGAGTCCTCAGGATGGGGGGTATCATGGGTGAAACAGTATACTCTGCTATGTCCATGGTATTGCTCATGTCTATAGGCGACGGTTACCACTTTCCATCAGGTGGACCGTCAGCTTGTTTGGCATTCTAAGTTGAATAAAAAAAAAACATTCGTTCTCTTACAGAGCGGCTGTGGAGCGACGGCGGGCGGCGCCACGTGTGCCACGCGGCGCTGACGGACGACTACGGCAACTTCGTGGTGCAGCGCCTGCACCACTGCGACTGCCCGCCCGCCGGCGGCGCCGCGCCGGTCACGCCGGCCGCGCCGCCCGCGCCCCACGCGCCGCTGTCCTACTGGCCCTCCGAGATTTTATAACACCGGAGCGCCGACATCGTAAGGCCTGGCTAGCTCGACAGCTTGTATGTGTAGGCGGTGCTTGTTGGGTGTTAGTGGTGATTCTGTCATGATATGATCATGAGAAGCCTATTTTGAAACCTCGCGAAAACTGGTTTTAGAATAACATTTAAAAAAAATCATCTTAGGCATTGGAGACGTAAGATTATTTGTAATCATGATTCCATTATGAAAATTGATTAAATCACAAATGATTTAAAAACAGTTTTAATTACGAAAATTACTGTGTTTTTTTACCTTTGATTCAGTTTCGATATCAGGATGGAAACTATTAATTTAAAAATTGTGACACCAAACATGATTTATTCATAAAATCCGTCATTCATAAACCATATATTAGCTATGGAACTGTTTTGTCTCTTTTTTGTGTGCTAAATTACCCATTTGAAAGAGATAACAGTGTAATGGTTAAAATAGATTTTTGTGTGGTTTTAGTTTTTTTTTTTTTTGAAAAATGAGGGTAGAATATAACACCCAACGTAGCACTAGGTAATGTATGACGTTTGGCATATTGTGTATTGTCCCGCAATGATTTGCATATGCGCCAACAGGCAGTGAATTTACAATAATATATCACACGCTTTATTACGTTTGTAAAGTTATATTTTGATGGCAAATCCACAGTATGCGTAAAAAATATAAACCAAGAGTGGATGTAAAGTGGCAATGTAATATTGTAAGTGGCTGCACTTCTCGTTTAGGATAGTTCAAGAGTATATCGTCCGCCACGGACTGTGTTCTAATCAAGCCCGATCGATTTAAATTTATCGTTGTATTTCTATTTACATATACAGTAATATCATTTTATAAGATAACCACAATAGTTTTGTAAAGTAACTCGCGTTTTTATCTTTAGACCTTTTTGTAATAAGAGGAATTCCTCCTTCGCGACCGGTCGCGCAAAGGGAGTTCCTACATTGTGACCGCCGTTTCGAAGGAGGACTGTTTTTCCTATTTCGTGACTAGTTTGCTGACTCGGTTACGAAACAGGTTAGATGTTTTTTTTTTTTTTTTATATACAGAGATGCCAGAACATTATCAGAATGAAGCAACATATCTGCCAAGTAATTTAGCGTAGTGTAGTTACCTTTGGTTAGGTGTAACAATAATTGTTATTTGCTGTAATAGTATATGGACCATAGAGCGCTGGGGCCAAGCGCACTCGACTCCGCATTGTCATTTCGCTACATCCAAAGATTATTGTTTGCCTTCGTTTCAAACATTTGCCCCTTATTCATAAAAACGTCAAACATTTTTGTCATAAACTTATTTTTGATATTCAATTGTTTTGCCCTTTTTTTGCACTAATTTTTAATTTTGAAACACAGTGACAGAACCTTGTAATAATTGTAATAAGTTTGTAGGATATTTTTATAACCTTTATATGAATAAGGGGTCATTCAAAGTAGAATTCAAAATGTCATTAAATAATAAAATTAATTATAAATATATGGCCACTATTTTTAATTTCGGCTAAAGTATGACATAGACTTTTTATCCTGTATTGTGAGGATGGTGAGTGATGATGCGGGCGCGATTGTTGGCGTCAAGCGTCAACGAGTGTTCATGACCGCACGGTGTGGTTACAACGCAATGTGAATGGATAGAATGTGCTACTTCTTGGCCAACACGATTATACCAGGGGTATAGGGTAAAAAGGACCCGACAAGTAAGGATTGGAAAACATATATATAAACAATCAAACATATAACCTCCTTTTTTGAAGTCGGTTAAAGGTGAATTCTGTTTTATAATATGTTTAGAATGTACTATGTCCAATACAAATTTCGATGGCCACAATCAATTTAATGGAAGTAGTAAAAGCAGTTGTTTTCAAAACATGTATTTTAGATACGCTAACAGATTATTTTATAATAAAAATAAATTTTAATTTAAAACAGAGATTTTTTAAATAGTCACTTTATAATGATCCCACCGCTGGATTCGGAACGTTGTTGACTTCTAAAAACACGTAAAAAACTGTTTCTTTTTTTTTTTCAAATTTTAAAATACGATTTTTCGTTAAAATAGTTATATTTTTTTTTTTTAATAGTCATCAGTTGACAGTAAAAGTGATTAAAAAGATTGCAAACAATGCCAAGAAGTATCACATTTTGTTCAAATTATACGGAAAATATAATATAGAAAATGTGTAACAGTATTGGAGCCAGATTGGTGACGAACAGATCTCAGAACGACCAGTATATTGTAATAAATATATTAATAGTGTTCTATTGTATAATTTAACTGTGCATAAAATATACGCAATTAGTTTTTTAGTTAATTAATTATTGCAAATCTGATGTGTTCACTTTTTAATTATGTTAAATAAATTAGTTTTTTTTTAAATAGTTTAGTTTAAACTAAAAACTAAATTATTTTCAATGTAATTTAGTTTTTAGCATAACCCTACTAAAACTAAATTATTTTGATTACTAAAATTGTTTAAATATTTGGTATTACACTATTAACTAAATTAGTTTTACCCAATTAATTTAGTTTTTTTTTTTTTTACTTATTTTATAGAAATAACACAACTATATTTTTCCATGATCACGTAATTCAGTCGTGTCAAATAGTATTAATTAGTGAATACATCAGATTTGAACCATTATATGGAAGGTTATCAGTTATAAAAGTATAACGATTATAATAAAAATATAGATTTGAGAGCGCACCCTATATACGTAAATATTGCTTTTTTAGTGATAGATTAATTAAATAATTGGCCTATTGGATACGGAGAACGGTATTTTAGTTTCAGCTTGCCTACTTATTATAATATATATAGTATAAATATAAATAGAATTATTGTATTCGTTTCGAGGTGCAAATATTTTTGTTACATTTGTGCCATAGACAAGAAAGTGGTGATGTGGACGGCGGATGGGCGTAACGTAATTTGAACACTATGAATTATAAAGTCCCATATCTTATTGAAAATGTGTTCAGAATTTTTTAGAACTTGTACCTACATATATAATATGATAGTTATGTGTATATAGTAAGGCATTATTTTAATAGAACACGAGGGGATGTTGCCGTATTTATCCATAATCTTTAAATGTTTCGCTCGACGGGTTTGTATTACGCGCTGTATCTTCGCACGGCGTATCATGCTGTATTTACACTTGGCCAAATTTTACAAGAACTCCTTTATCTCTGTTTAAAATAAATAATAGTTCTAAGAGAATATTTTGGTTATTATAAAAATTAAAAGGTTATAAAAATACGATAGATAACATAAAAATACCTAATAAAATTAGTGCTTTGCACTTTTGAGGGCAAGGCGATAAAATGAGTTGTGGCCATTTTGTGTTACTGTGGCATACACGTGAAAAGAAAGAAGAAATATATGTTACTGTCTCTCTTATTTGTTTGCTGTAATTGATGTGAATAAATTAGCTATTTAACTAATATATGACACGCAAACTGCGACAATGTTGATCTTGACTGCTGACAGCCAAATGTTGGAGAATTATAAATGAAAAATATATATCACCTCGTGTACAGGCAGGATGCGTCGTGCGGGAAATTAATCGGTTAATATATAATTATTATTAAATACATATAAATAATAAATATAAACCCGTAACGAAACATTTCAAGGTCACCCTGCGACGGTGACGTGATATCTAAGGCGAACCCACTAGCTATAAATTAGTGCTCCCTTTCTTAGCCTGATAAGTGAGCACTAATTGTAGTATTGCCAAATATTTGGTTAGTATTGTATAAAAATGGTCATAAAAATCGCCTATAAAATGTAATGCATTAATAAGTTGAACATATGGTACATAGAGTTCACTTTATATTGGTTTTTTTTTTAAAATAACATTCCTTTTCGATTAGACGGAAATTATTTTAGGGTACATATTTTGAAAAATTTTTTATACAGAAATAACTGAATAGAATTATATTCAGTATTTATATTTATACTTACTATTCTTAGTTTGAATTTATACATAGTGACTCTTTACGATAGATTTATTTTGCAATTTGGTGCATATTTTTAAGATGCCATCTATATATAATATACGTTCGATTAGTATTTATTGTTTTCTGTGATAAAACCTTTTTTTTTATTTTATTTTGACAAAAAAAAAATATAATTATTTCATTATAGTTATAGATGATGCAAATATTTCGTCAGAATTTATTTACTTGATGAAATTTTGTTTAATGAATTGAAATATATAATAAATATTGTATGTAACTTTATCGAGCTTATGTTAAGAATTGTAATCAATCAATCGTTGCCAACGAAAAACTTTATTCGTCCATCCCACGGTAGCAGCCTACAGATAGGACAAGTGTCAATTGTCCCACCATGGGACGACACTGAGACTAGTGGGACGGACGAAATTTTATTTACAATCTGCTCTCTTTGCCATAAAATTTTTGCGCTATTAGTTATTGGACAGACGAAATATTTGAAATGCATCTAATATATAGCTTTTGTTACGCTACGAAGGGATATAATGATCCTACAATAACGTTGTCTTGGTTACTCACTCCGCCTACAGATGATATTAATGCGGCGTACGATACAAAATTAACTGTTTTATTAATTGTAATCACGTTAGCCGTTTAATTTAAGAGTAGGATGTTCTACCTCTAAACAAATCATAGTTGATGTACAATATAAACTTTTAACAAATGTTGTTTTTTTATTTTTTTTTGGATAAATTTATAAATGATATCCTTTTATTTTTTGGCATAGAATGGGCCATCCCTTCCTTTCCTGTAGGTGCTGTAAGAGGCGACAAAGAGAACTAAGTTGTATAAAAAATATATATATATATATATATATATATATATATATATAAATATATATATATATATATATTTATATACAACTTAGAATGGCAAACAAGCTGACGGCCCACCTGATGGAAAGTGGTAACCGTCGCCTATAGACATGAGCAGTACCATGGACATAACAGAGTATACTGTTTCGCCCATGATACCCCATTCCTGAAGATTAAGGTGTTATGCCTCTATACCATGTAATTTCATAACGATATCCCCCCCCCCCCCCCTAATATATATGTAATGGCGAAAGGACAAGCTTCTAAACTAAAAATCCAATATAAAAAAGTGGATTTTATTCCTTCACCGACAATATATGGGGGTGTTCAAGTATTACATAACGAAATTTGAGGATTTTGTAAA